GGGCCGCATCTTCAACGAAATTCATCCTGACTGGTCTAGGTGGCGCGGCTGCGGGATCGGCCAGGGCTCTTTCTGGCAGCCACACCTAACGCATGTTCCTGAAACGAATATATTTATATATTTATGTTAAACACACTCCGCATGATGTGTACAAATAATTGTGAATTTTGATTGCAGAGAGCTGAGAATAAATCATATTACCTAAAATGTATTAATCAATAGTAATTGGTGTATTAGTGTATCAGTGATATTGTTAGAAATAATTGTATATTATGTGTAATAAAAACATCCGATCATTCAATCCATTTAACTCTATATTGGTAGCGGTGAGAGTATAATCTATACTAAATATTATAAATCTTCCATGAGCGGTCAAAAGGGCTAAAGTCAAAAATACACATTTTGAGATTTTTAGGTGTTTTATTTCTAATAAATATGAATTATTTTTTGGTAAAAAAAGGATTAAGTCAATCTTTTTTCCTCTTTAAGTTATAACACTTATCATTTATCGTATCCAATTTGGCGTTTAATTTTATTGTAAAATATGTTATACTATTACTTTAATTTTTATCAGTTTGATTCATCAATTACAATGTATATTAAATAATTTTAATACATATATCTGTTAGCCCTTTTGACTTAACCCCTTTTGGCCGCGCACGGAAGAAATATTTGTGTGCCTGTGTGTAGGTGTAATAAGCGTAGAGAATCACATTCAATGTGTATAAAATGTATTATTAAATGTACCCCAAGATAGTTTTACTTCAAAGTTACATAAATAAATATGTTAAGTCATAAACATCCGAACCCTATGTCATATTTAATGTTATATCCTTAGTACCTTAGGTATTTCAAATAACTATTAAGGAGGAATTAAGAAAACTATTTGCTATGTATACATTATTTTAAATCATTATTAAGTCTATTATATTGGTAAATGTTTTTTTTTTTTTATCTACTTCAAGAAAGGTATGTGTAAAATGTATTTACTCTAAGGAGAAATTCACATTCCTAGTGTTCATAAATACAATAGTTTGAGTTTTCTTACATAAAAGCCATTGCGTACGGATTGATTCCCCTCAGCAAACCGTCCAATAAACCCATCATGATTTTGCACAGTTCACGATTTGCCCGTCGTGCAATATCGAGGCGCCGGTGGTTGGCCTCTACGGACTCCAAGAAATACAACTGACAGTTGTACGCATTTTCCGGGGCAACGGCCACCTCATGATTGGTCGTCCGATATGTCTGACCGTGGACAATAAACACAGGCGGTCCCCGCCCTGGCAAACGCCTGTCGTGTGCGTCGGAGGCAAACTCAGCGAATGCCAGTAGGTTGTTGAACCGCCGAACTTCAGCTCGGAATCTTCGACCATCCTGGGAATCATCTATAAACAAACTCTGTATTATATTTGGTACTGGTAATAACGCGTAACAAGCAGCGACCACTTGGCCGTTGTTACAACATGTGGAGAAGTGACCCCGGGTTGTCTGAAGTGGCGGGCGTAACAATGTCTGCAGACTCTGTCCAGTGCTCCCACGTAGTGCCGCTCTGGAAGCGGGTGTGTTACGCCCGCATGCCGGTTTATCATTGGCGCACACACTATGGTTCGACCACTACCACGTATTCAATATCCTCTACCAGGAAGTCGTCCTCCACCCCATCGTCGGCCACTTCCACGACCATTTCCACCTCAACTTCGACTTCCACCACCCCGTCACCGACCATTTCCACCTCCTCTGTCACTTCCACTTCCACGTACTCCACGTCCTCAATCCCATCCATCTGGACTTCTGCCACTTCCACTTCTCCATTTCCCTCCGCCTGACGGTCGACCACTTCCATGTCCTCCATCCGGACCTCCTCTCCATCCACGTCATCCATCTGGACCTCCACTCGTCCCACGTCCTCTATCCGAACTCTCCCTACATCCATGTCCTCTCTCTGGACCTCCACCCCTTCTACTACCACCATCTGGACCACCACTCCTTCCACGTCCTCCTCTCCATCCGCGTCATCACCAAGTACCTAAAAGTTAGGTCCAGTTTAGAGTAGGTACAATATTAAGGTATTTATAATTGTAAGTAATTAAATATACAATATCATGTTTGTGCATTGAATGTCAAAATCCATACTCAAAGAGAACTGCTGTACTAACGTATTAGTAACAACGTATAATAAAAACCAAGAGTAGAATGTATATCATTACTTTCATTTTACTGTATAAACACAATATTAACTATTAAGTATACAATATCAGTTATGTAAACATAGGTAATCTATAGTTTGTGGGTAATGTAGCATGGTTAAGTGCATTTATATGAAATTATATAGGCATTAGAATATCATAAACGTGTCTAAGAGTACCACATATGAAATGATAACAATTAAAGGAGAGTATACAGTTTAAGTCAGTAGTAAATAGTATAAGTATTTTGTTCATTGGTTGCAAACACTCATAATAAAAGTTAAAATACGGTGAGTTGAATTTTTAATGGTTGTGTGATCATACATATTTAATATAATCTTGTATTGGTTAGGTGTAATGTACTCATGTGTTATACAGTGTAAACTCATATGCAATAAGTGTATTTATATGAAATTATTATATGATAAGTTGAATGTAAGGTTTATGTTACACTAATAAAATCATACATGGTCTTCAATGTGATAAAATCAAGTACACCTATATCTATCACCACTATGGCACTATGTATCAAATAACACACATCAGTAGTAAATAATATGTTACACTAAGTTACAAATAAAGTTAGTTGCATAAATACAGTAAAGAAAGTGATGAACACTACGATAAAACACTTATCCAGTACCTACACAATTCACAAAAAAAGGAGAGTTTAGTAAAGAGTCTAGTAATACCTAATTTGTGTAGTAGTAACATTAAGAAAATGTTAATTTATGTAATGAAACGTGAAGTATCCTGTTTAGGTCAATATGCCCATAGTAAAAGTTGATATATAAGTATATTTGTAAGTTAATCTAGGTATCAAATCTTGGGTCAATGTATGAGCTTGATACAGTTTTTGATATGCAACTAAAATCTGAAACAGCGGCAACACGATTGAATGTCGTTCAAGTTATTCTACAGTTTGCTTTCTATAGGTACATACAATTATAATATAATAAGTTGAATGGAATTCTTATGATAAAATAGACATTTAGTTTTCAAGAACGTTGTACCGAGCCAGTACAGTATAGTAAAGTATAAGTAGGTATAGTAGAGTACCCTAAGTTATGTACAGAAACAATTTATATAATATGTAGGTATCTAAGATCACAGTGAATATTAAAACGGAATAAACGTAAACAAATCTATCGTATTAACTTTTGAAATAATATAAACATTTCTAAGAGTACCACACGTTAAATGATAAAATGGCTATCTAGTACACAACTTACAAATAAAGGACAGTATACCTAGGTAAGTAGTAGTAGTAATAGTAGTATTATTTTGTTCATTGGTTGTAAATACCCAACAGAGAGTTAACACAATCTGTTTCGTAGGAGTGGATATACAGTTTATAATTTTAACAAAATGAATAAAAATAAAGTGTAATTTAATACAGAAATTTAACTTCGAACAATAAAAAGAAGAATATAGTAGTAAATCTGTTACACTGTAGTACAAACAGAGTTAGTTGTATAAATTGCTAACAATAAGACAATATGTGAAATGATAAAATACTTATCCAGTATACAATTCACAAAGGGTTATGTACAGAAACAATGTATTTAATATGATCTAAGAGCACAGTTAATAATGAAGCATGTAAGGAATTTAAACCGTAGGTTACACTACTCTTTGATATTACGTACTATGGAATAAAAGTAAACAAATAAAATGAAATTAGCACTGCAGACATTTTTGTCGAATGATAATTCAAAAGTGGGCTAAAAAAACACTATATTAAGTAATTCCCATATTGTAAAATGTGTTGTACATCATTGTAATATCATGACTTTTAATTATTCTTTTTTTATTTATTCATTAACTTGATATCATGTATTAAACAGTAGGTACCTTTTGTGAGCGTATATGTATTACCATGTTGCAACAAAAACGTTGAATGTCATAGAGTTAAGTTATTAAATTAAGTTAGGTTGCTAACATACACAGTAGGTACATTAAACTCATGGAGTACACAAAAGTATTAGTGACAAAGTGTAACTGTCACGGTTTACTGCAATGAAATGATATTTATTGAACATAATATTATGATTTCCATACACTCACCAAAGACGGCACTGCTGTGTGCCGCAGACGTCGGCGTTGTGCATTTCCTGCAGCGTAGTCAACACCGGGAACGAAATGCCTCGAACACAGCGTCGATGTGTTGGTCACACCAAAACCGCGGTTCACCACAAAGGCCATCCACTGAACACGACGCACGTCGTTTGTTGGAAATCTAAAGGTGACATATTATTGATTTTATTACATTGCTATGCATCAACGGGATGTGTAAAATAATTGTAAATACCCGTGTACTGAAACGCCATCGATGTTGTCCACAATTCCACATATAACGCAGAGTTTGACCATTTTGAATAGTCTATATTATAAGGATAATCAGTGGTTAAACGAACCTAAAATAACCCATAAGCAAACTTACAATTTACACACCAACCCACCCACCCAATTGCCGGCTATAATAGGTACCTATTATATATTTAAAATATTTTTTTGTTCAATTAATGTATATATATATATATATTAATATATATTTTTACCAATAAATTTAGGTAGGTTACTTATATAATAAATAGTATATTATACTGTATAATAGTAGGTTCATATTATAATTAGGTAGGTATTGTAATATAATTTTTTTGTTTTTGAAGAAACTAAAGAAAATAAAACATAATAATAAAATGTAGGTACCTATTTACCTATTTACCTATTAACATATTTTACAGCAATCTAGATAATGTATATAATGTATTATATTAATTTAAAACAAATTTAAAAATATGAAACTAATTATTTAAATATCAACTGTTTTTTTAAAACATCTGAAGTCATGACAAACGTATCTATGGCTTCATTGTAATTGATTTCAATATCCTTTTCCATGCTCAAAATCAATAAGCTTTCAAGTCGGTCTTGTCCAGTTGTGGAACGTAGGCGAGTTTTAATCAATTTTACCTAAAACAAAATGTTTATAGTTCTAAAAATATTGTATTTGTTAATTGTTGTTAACTTATACTATTACAAAATGCATGTCTACATAAATGTACACATATTGTATGTACAATACAGAATTTATGTAATACTATTATATTATACTATAATTATATTTATACACTAATAAATTAGTATTACCTTTGAAAAACTACGTTCAGCTGAAGCAAAAGAAGCAGGTATTGTACCAAGTGACTTACAAGCTTTGTACAAATTGGGAAAAGCTGATATCAAGTTGTAACTTGACAAAATATGAAGAATTCTTTCTACACTAACTTTTTTTTCAACTACTTGTGTGTCATCTTCATAACTAGTGATACTGGAATCACTATCTTCAGAACTTTGTATACACTTGACATTCTCATGTAGTTGTTTTGGTTCAAGTCCTACGACCAATTCATGTAAACTACTACTGAAAGCTAAATACTCTACTCTTAAATCTTGTAAATTTATACCATGTATCCATTTTGCTAATTGGTCAAAAGCATCTTCAGGCAATTTTTTACTATTCTTTTTACTATAAGACAGAAGTCGTTCAGGTGAAAGTAGACAAAGGTCCTTCATTATCTCTCTAGAGTCTTTAAACCTTGATTCAATAGAATTTATAATGACATCCAACACTTTAAAATACACATCACTTCTAAATACATCTTGAGCAGTAGAAGAAATTTCATCTCTAGACAATTCTCCAGGCATAATTTTTTTTTTACGCAACCTGACTTCTTTAAAGTTCCTTTCTGTTAAGTTTTGGTCTTTTGCAAAACTTTTTGCTTCATTTATCAGATTTTGACATTTATCATCATCTCTAAGATCAATTAAACGGTTCTTAGCAACATCAACAAGATTAATTGCTTCTATAAAATCAATTGATTTAGATTGAAGGTAATTTGAAACTGGAGTAGTAATTGCAAATATAGTTTTAACTAAATTCATGGCTATAATAAATTCAAAAGAAGATAATCTCATTGATAAACTTTTGGCTGTTGAACTTGATTCACGATCAGAATCTTCCGCAGAAGCAATAGCATTCAATGATTGTAATAATGCAGCATATTTTTCATATACTACTGTAATTACTAGGTCATGTGAAGTCCACCTTGTGGTAGAAAAACGTTTTAAGCGTCGCACTCGTTCATTTGGATATAATTTATTTTGAAAAAATACAAAAGTAGCAGTTATTTTTCGTGCTCAACTCAACTAATGCTTTAATATCACCAAAAAAAACCTTTGTTTTGGTACAACAGTCACATGTATCAACTATTACCAAGTTTAAAAGATGTGCAGAACACCACACATATAAAGCATTAGGGTTTTCATTTTGTATTAAAGTTTTTAATCCTGAATATTGGCCTTGCATTGAAGCTGCTCCATCGTAAGCTTGTGCACACAAATCTCTTTTCCAATTAATATTATATTTTTCTGTTATATTACAAAATACTTCATACATTCCTTTTCCAGTTGAATCTGGTGAAGTTACCAATGCCACTAATCTTTCTTCAATTTTACCTTTATCATTTAAATATCTAAGTAAAAAGGTAAATTGCTCTAATGTAGACACGTCTGTAGTAGTGTCTATGATGACTGAAAAGAGACAGGATTTTTTAACATCAAATAAAATCTTAGAACGCACAATTTCTGATAATATGCTCAACAGTTTGTTTTGACTTAAACTTGATAAAAATGTAACTCGGTTGTGTTTACCTTCTATTTTTTGTAAATGAGAATTTAAGGGCCCGTGATGTTTTGATAATAACTTCAAAAGTTCCCTTTGTTCATTGAGGTATTACTTTCATCGTGCCCTCTTAATGCAATATCCTGTCTGGCAGTAAAAAGTAGAGCATCAATGATAACCTTTAAGATTTATCGGTTTTCAGCTACTTGGTGGTTTGCCGATTTTAAAAGTGTGATATCAATTCTTGTTCTGGTGAAATACAAGCTCCGGCTAATCTCACTTTGAATATGTTCGGGTAAACACTCGTGATGGTGAATTGTTTTAGCAATGTTTCTATAATCACAGGTACCTTTAGAAGATAAAAATGATTTTTTTGCCTTATCCAAACCAAATAATCTACAAGACATGCAAAATACTCTATCAAGTAAAGGCGAGTATGACAGCCAGGTGCGTTTTGTTAAGTTGCCATCTGGTAAACGTTGAAAATAATGACTTTCATGGAATCACCGAATATTTCCTGATCCATAGTTTTTTGTAGGGAATTTGTTGTATTTTAGATCAGAAGGCAATGGCTGACAAGGTCCGAGATTCACAAAGTATGTTAATATTTCATTTGACATGGTTTCTGGCCAATGAACAGGATCATTTGGGAACACACTATCCTTAACTTGGTATTCTAAAAAGAAATTATGATTTATCACTGTCAGTCTAATTCACTGCCACCAACTTATATTTTATTGTTATGATTGTAATGTTATAAAATGTTAATTCTTGTCAGTTGGAATAAAATAAATTATTACTATTTTATAGCTCCATGTTCCCCCACAAGGCCACAATTATGTAGTTATCTATATAAATTGGTATAATTTATACTATTTAAGTATAACATTTTATATTCCACGTACCTGTCAATTTTGTCGATTCAGTTGATATTCAACAGTTGATATCGTTTGATATTGTTGTTTCAAATGACTCTATATAACATATAAAAATAAAGTAATTTATTAGTGCACATTTGTTGTAACTTGTAAGTCACAAAGTTAAAATTGATCAGGGAAGCAAATTAAAGTTTCAAATTTTTTAAATTCTTCTAACTTTAATTTAACATTACATTTTTGGACTCATTATAAAATGATAAATAAATTTGGATAGTAATGGACTTGTAATAAACACGTGGACTTTATCAGAAACTTCTTTTGAAAAAATTATCATTTCAAAACATTAATATTTTTTTTAACAATAATAGGTACCTGTATCGGCTGTATCTTTAGTATAATCAGAAGTTGTATATGTACTCAAATTGTTTTCAGATAATAGTTCAGAGTTTAGGGCATCATTTTGACTGCATGTTGGGTTTTCATCTACAAATACAAAAAATTATTTAATAATCGCTTAAAAAATAATACTTCCTTAGTTTTTATAGTAAATAATTATTTTTTTATGTATTTAATTACAAAGAACAAAAAACTGTTATTACTTTTGAAAAAATACTAAATGGTGAAATTTAAAATTATTACCTATTGATAATTTGATGAGTGACTTCAAAGTAAGGATTGGACTCTGGCTAAATGACAAACTGGTTGATAACGAATTGGACACTTCTTCATCCATTCCAACTAAAATAGTAAAAATCACGTACAAGGTGAAATGTGGTAACAATATTAACAATAATAGGTACCTGTATCGGCTGTATCTTTAGTATAATCAGAAGATGTACATGTACTCAAATTGTTTTCAGACAATAGTTCAGAGTTCAGTGCTTCATTTTGACTGCATGTTGGGTTTCGATCTTAAAATTAAAATAACTCAAATTATCATAAAAGTTAATTTAAAAAAAAAATGTAATATGATTGTAAACCAAAATATGTGTTGCTTAAGTGAGAATTTAAGATAGTTTTGAAGAAAATGTAGGTACATACATTTTTATATTCTAAACACAAAAAATATTTTATTTACATACAGGTAAAATATAACATATTACCAGTATTACCAGATACGTGAGCTATGAATTTTATATGTATTAAAAAAATATATTATACAAAAAAACGAATTGCATTTTAACTATAATATATTAGATTTGGCAATTGTGACTTAACTACAAATATAAATAGGGTATTTATACATCAAGTCTCAAATTATGTATTATAAATAATAAATATTATATAAGTATATAAAATAATTCAAACTTACCTTTTACACTTGTGGTAATTTTAAAAAACTTGGCAATATTACTGTTGTTTGACATAATTTTTAACTTTTTACTCTTACATGAAATAATGTGCCTTGTCCAATTTGTGTTATTCAATTTGTCACGATTTTTCCCACATTCACAAATTTCAGAGTTCATAGTGATAGTTTAGAAGCACAATATTATAATATTTGTATTTTGTAATATCAAATAGGTAAAAATTAAGTTATTACAGACTATTTACAGTGCACAATAAAATACGAAACAGATACGTCATACCCATAAGTTAATCAACTCATCGACAAACGTCAAACACTAAGCTGCAAATCGCAATAACCGCATGTCCGCATTAGGCTATTACTTATTAGAGTTTTATTGAATTTTCAATAATGATAAATTTATAACAATATCGTCATTATCACACCAGTCACTCGAGCATAGGGATGTCAACGGGTGGGTGGGCGACGCGACAAAAATAAACACATCCCACAGGAAAATCCCAACTTGGTGGTTATTTGTAAATACCATGACAGGCAAAATAATAACGTTTTATAACGCTACGTAACATGATCAAAGATGCGTCCGATGTAGTTTACATCTATTATCTCGTACTCTCGTTTACTATTGCTTTTGCTTATGTAAATATTGTAAATGTTTTAAATGTATTTTATATTATTAATCGATGATAATAAAATAAATTCCTTATGTATAATATTACTTTTACAACTTTTGACACATTTATAATGCACTGATTTTAAACGTACTAGTAGTATATATATACCAGTCCTGGCGCACCTCATAATATATCAGTAAAAGATCACAAAGAAAACAATGTGCAAAAAGATCAGAAAATCGAAATGCAATAATAATTAAAAACATTTTTCGCAAAACTTATGAAATGCAATAATAATAAAAATATTTTCCACAAAACTTAATTATTAAAAATAAAAATCGAAATGCAATAATAATAAAAACATTTTTCGCAAAACTTATTAAATACACCCAAAATATTTTTCATAATACTTATGATATTAATAATTAAAATCGAAATGTAATAATAATTAAAATATTTTTTAATAGAATTGTTCTATTGAAAAAAGTCTAACAACAAACTAGTGAACATTAAATATAGTTTTCAAACCAATTATTCATTATATGATTCGCTAATTCATTATGAATTTCCTTAAAATAACCAAATAATTTTTTTAAATTATTTTGGTAACGATTGTAACTATACTTATTATCATAAGATTGATATAAAGATGATACATGAGTTTCTAAACTATACATAGATGATTCAATTTCTGATAACTCTTTTAGTATATTTTTATACCTTTGGATCATATCTAAATGATTTTTACAATTTTCCATTTCTAAAAGATTTTTACAATTTTCCATTTCTATTATTTATTTTAGTAAAAAAATTTTTTTTAGATTCTGAGTGAAACGATGAATGTATTGATTTTACAATGATGTGTGTTTTTTTATTTTTTTATATTTTTCATTTTTTTTGTATCTGTGTACACGATAAGTAGTCGAAATAATGCTTCGATTTTCGACTTCAGTATCTTGTTCGATTGGAAAGTGAATATCGTTGGTGCATTGAGGAGGTCAAAATTTAAATTTCCAGTAGTTTTCACAAGCGCCGGGAAAAACAACATAAAAATTAAGGAAAAACGGGAATTTTTACGCAAAATTGATTTTCCAAAAAATCGATTTTGGTTATTGGTGTAACTCTAAAACAAATGAACGTATATACATGAAATTTTCACTGGTTGTTTATATTTGCATTTTCTATACACGATAACATTTTCAAAATATTTTGATTTATTTTGAACTGTTTAGGGACATTTTCATTTCCCATTTTTTTTTAGTTTTTTTTCTAAAAATTTCAATAAAATTTTATTTGTTGGTTGCGAAAGCTTGAAAATTTAATAGAAGGCTCCTAATATGTTGTTTCAAAGGCAGATGAAAAATATTAAAAATCCTTAGTCACAATTTTTTTTTATAAGCATTTAAAGTTCAAAAATTGACAAAATATGGAAAAATCACGAAAATTAGCAAATTATTTTGAGTTAAGAATTCGTAAAAATTTTTCTTTTTAAATCTAAGATTTGAAAATCTAATACAAGATTACTCATAAGATTGTCTACCTTTATCAATAAAAAAATTTCTACCGGAAAGTCAAATTAAATTTTTATGAGCGTTTGAAATTCAAATTTTTACAACATTGGATATTCACTCGATTTCTCATGTGGCAATTTCCTTTTTTTGTTGTAATTAAAAAACGAATTACTGTAGATACATGAAAATTTCACTGAATGTTTATATTAGCATTTCCTATACACCCTACAATTTTGAAAATATTTTGACACTTTTTGAGCCGTTTACGGACATTTTCAGTTTTCAATTTTTTTAGTTTTTTTTTTCTATAAATATCAATTAAGTTTTATCTGTTGGGCCAAAAAGTGTAAAAATTTAATACAAGGCTCCTGATATATTGTTACAATATCAGTTGAAAAATATTAAAAATACATAGGCACAATTTTTTTTTATGAGCATTTTAACATCGAATTTTGACAGAATTTTTCAAAATCTCGAAAATTATTAATCATCGTAATTAATAAATTATAAAATGTTCAGTTTTTATAGCTAAGGATTGAAAATTTAAAACAAGATTCCACGTAAGTAGTTAATTCTCTTACCGAAAAATCTAAAAAATATACAATCACAGTTTACTTTTATAGTCATTTTATGTTCAAATTTGGACGAAATTACATATTAAAAACCTAGTTATTTTGTTGTGATTATATAATATTATTCGTGGGTACCTACTTGAAACTTCTAAAGTGTACTATTATATATATATGATAGTATCAGGGTTTGTTGTTGATGTTGATGTATAACGTGTTATAAGTACCTAATGGATATTGTGATAATGTGATATGATTAATTTGGAATTTATTATAGGTAAATTTTTTTTTTAATACCATAGATATGTATATAATTTGTATTAAACCTAGACTGACATACCGTCTTCGCTCAGAATCGTTTTTCTTATACAATGATATTGTATCATTGAATTCAAATTTAATAGCATCCATTATACAGTGACCCACTTGTAACCTACTGTACAGCAGAGCGACATCCACTTACCCACCTCTTCATTATGAATTTCCTTAAAATATCCAAATAATTTCTTAAAATTTTTTTGATAACGATTGTAACTATACTTATCATCATAAGATTGATATAAAGATGATACATGAGTTTCTAAACTATACATAGATGATTCAATTTCTGATAACTCTTTTAGTATATTTTTATACCTTTGGATCATATCTAAATGATTTTTACAATTTTCCATTTCTAAAAGATTTTTACAATTTTCCATTTCTATTATTTATATTAGTAAAAAAATTTTTTAATAAGATAGTAATAAGATAGGTCATGCAATTTCAAACTGCTATACAAAACAGAGAAATGAAAGAAACACGTCGGGAAACGCCAGCGGACCATCACCAGTGGGAGTCAGATTGGTCCAAGAAATAATTCAAGACCCACACACAGGATTTTCCACATCACAGCAAAATTAATAGACAATCACATTACTTTAAAATCACATAGTTTTAATAAGGATCAAATTAAATTATTAGTCGATAGTCGACTGGGGCGGATCTAAATATAATTAAAATTAATGCATTAAAAGGAAACACTGAAATTAACGAAAACGAAAAAATTTATTTGAAAGGCATCAATGAAAAGATAGTTTCTACAATAGGAAAAACAGAGATAGAATTAATGATTAATAATGAGGCATTCGAAACACAATTTTATGTTGTAAACAATATTTTTCCAATCTTGGCAGACGGAATTATTGGTAATAAATTTTTAATTGATAATCACGCAGTAATAGACGTCAGTAGTATATGTATGCCAGTCCTGGCGCACCTCATAATATATCAGTAAAAGATCACAAAGAAAACAATGTGCAAAAAGATCAGAAAATTGAAATGCAATAATGATTAAAAACATTTTTCGCAAAACTTATGAAAATGCAATAATAATAAAAAAAAATTTTCCGCAAAACTTAATTATTAAAAATAAAAATTGAAACGCTATAATAATTAAAAACATTTTTCGCAAAACTTATGAAATGCAATAATAATAAAAATATTTTCCGCAAAACTTAATTATTAAAAATAAAAATCGAAATGCAATAATAATAAAAACATTTTTCGCAAAACTTATTAAATACAAAAACCCCCAAAATATTTTCCGCAAAACATAATTATTAATAATTAAAATCGAAATGCAATAGAATATTTGTAAGTTAGGCATATTAATTTAATTTTTAATAGAATTGTTCTATTAAAAAAAAGTCTAACAACAAACTAGTGAACATTAAATATATTTATCAAACCAATTTTTCATTATATGATTCGCTAATTCATTTTGAATTTCCTTAAAATATCCAAATAATTTCTTAAAATTTTTTTGATAACGATTGTAACTATACTTATCATCATAAGATTGATATAAAGATGATACATGAGTTTCTAAACTATACATAGATGATTCAATTTCTGATAACTCTTTTAGTATATTTTTATACCTTTGGATCATATCTAAATGATTTTTACAATTTTCCATTTCTAAAAGATTTTTACAATTTTCCATTTCTATTATTTATATTAGTAAAAAAATTTTTTTTTTAACATTGTTCTATTAAAAATATTTTTCTAATCTTTTTGATTTTGATTTCTAATCAGTGTATTGAGATGGTTTACAAAATCGTTTCTATCTATGTTTGTTTTATAATGTCCCCAAGCTAATGTATCAATACCATTTTCCAAAATAAATCTTTTATCATCATAAACACTTAAAGCTTTTTTGTTTTGTTCTACAGTAAAAATATCATGTTTCTTAGTTCTAAATAAATTTTGTTTAACATATTTTGATTCTTTTGTTAGTAAACATTTTTCAAAATCATTAAAACATATTTTATTTTCTACAACATTTTTTTTAACAACTTTAGCTTTTTCAATTTCTTTTTCAGTATCTAAGATTCGATGAGAATATAATTTAGATCTTAAACCTATAAATTCAGACATTATTTTTCCATTTAACTCATCTTTAAACTTGCCTAAACTTTTTTG